GGTTTCCTCGATCTTTGAACACCCTGTATTACTAATTATGAATATATTTTTTTTTTAAATGAAGTGTGATTTCGAATATAAGCCGCACCCCAGTTTTCCTCTTGAATTTTTGGCAAAAATGTGCGGTATTTTATACTTTCAGTCAGTGCAGTCATTTCAGAACATCAGGCCATGTTTAATTTGAATGGTACATCTTGACTGAAAGTAGAAAGTAATGAATTTGGAAGAGGTTGCCCTCGCAATGATTAACAGAGTCTAGAATATATCTGATATGTCTTTGGAGATGAAGTTACATATTAGGCACCTAACATGAGAAAGCTTGAAGTGGCACTATGCATCAGAAATCTTTTTTATTTAAACAATTTAAACATATCAGAAGGTAGAAGTATGATTCTGATTGATTCTTATTCCGCATCACAAGTGTCTTGGCCCAATTCTTCCTCATAATTTTTAGAAGATGCTATGTGGAGCTCAAGGTTTGTTATTTAGGCTTTGGCATTGTACCCTTCCCTCTCTTATGCAATGATTTAGTGGGAATATAAAACAAATTATAAATAAAAATTGAGAACAACTAGGCAGTTTGTAGCACACATTCTGCTTATAATAAATAGAAACAACACTACAAGTATTATGGTTTTGGATATTATCCATTGTATTTTCTATGTTCTAAAATCCAGTCTCTGAAACGTTGTGTTTTTAAAAAGAAACAGGACGTTTCTTAGAAAATAGACAAGATGATGGACAGTGTCCAAAAACATAATACACTCAACTCTCGAATGTTCAGTAATGTGTCCACAAATATTTACCTCTCCGCCCTGTCATAGTTTGCAACTTTGACACAGGATTCTTTTTTGAACTGAATGTGACATTGGCATCATAAGTAGTACTGCAACTGCCAAACTGGAATCTCTCTTTGAATACACATATATATGATATTGATGAAATTTTGAAGTTGGATCTACTCCCTATTGCAGATGATTGATTGTTATTATGTTGGCAGTTTGTGTCTTAGAAGTGAAAGTGTCCATTCTTTGCATAGTATTACAGAGCATAGAAGCTACAAGAAAGAAGGAATAATATTCATTTAAGAAATTAAAGTTAACTCACGTAATTGAAAATAAGATTGATACAAAGAATTTGCACATACTCATATGATTGTGATTACATCAGCTCGGTAACATATTTGATTGTTGCTTGGTAGACTATTGTTTGTTAACTGAACACCGAAGAAGAATGTAATGCATCTGACTAATGAAGCAGGTTTTGACAAAATCAGAATTGATATTTTGCATTTTGGTCCCTGTGCAATTTTATTTAGGGAATGGTCTTCATGAAGTACCAAAATTTAATCATAATTATTAGAGCCATTTTCATTTGGGGTGTCTATTTGGAGGGTACCCGTTTTGGAGCTAGAATGATAATATTCAGTGGGAACAAACCTATGGTAAACTCATAAATATCAAATATGAATGAAATCCATCCAGCCATTCTGGCGCTAGTGAGGCAAACATTTGTACACACATGCACGTATGCACGGATGCATGCACAGCATTTCAGAAATCATCTGTATTCATGTGGGCTTAAAATGTATGAATTCATAAAAATATCAGGGTTCATTTTTCACAGTCACAGTACATATGGGGAATTAAGAGTCAAATCGTATTAGAAAATTATACCACTAGTACTTGCATATTGCTTTAATAGCCATGGAAAGCATACATATTGGCAAGAGTATGACCTAAATTTATAATACAAGAATCTTTGGGTATTCTGTATTAGCTCTGCAGTTTTAAAGAAGAAAGAAGTCAATGTTATTTTGTATTAGGTTGAAATGGCAGTCTCTGTTAGCTTATTAGATCAGCATGCAGAGGCTGCTGATCCTAGTCACTGCCATAAGAAAGGTTATGAATAAAAACTAAGAACATAGGAAGTCTGTATAATGACAGTGGCCTAAAGATGGAGGTAGATCCAGAATATTGTCATGTGTTAGAGGTTGTGACTGGGCAGGTTTTGGATTGGATGATTGGATTTATCGACACCTTATACACACAACTCAGAACTACAAGCAATACAGCTGAAAATGGTGTCCTCCAGTACTTACATATACAAGTATTTTTCATGAGCATAGCAAATTCTGTGGCACATGTTATGAAGTTCATCCTCTCTTATATCTATTATAACAGTTTGTATTTCATACTGTAAAGCTTCCAAATTCTGTAGGTTGTTTGTGTAAACTTTCTGTTTCAAGGTTCAGAACTGGGAAACATGACAGCGATGAACCACTACTCACTAATAGTTACTATAGGATTCTGACGATGGTGTATAACACACTGATATATTGGGTTTCTGGACTTTATCCATCGTCCTAGTTTTTAAGATAACAAAAACACGACGTTTCGGAAACTGGATCTGTTTCCGTCCTCAGGTGAAGGAAAA